GCCTTTTTCTGCTTTATTTTACTTTTTACTGCTAATTGGTGTTATTTGTGCTTCTTACAGTTGCTTTCTGCAATATTCAGCTATTTGCTGCAATTTCAGCTAAATTTTAGCCGTTATGAGCCAAATTTAGTTCAAATTACTTGAATTTGGCCAATTTTTGAATAATGAGCTATAAATCAATAAACAGGTACCTGAGACTTAGCTCTATCATAAATAGCAGCCAAAAAAATCCAAGATGGCCACCAAAGCTAGTTTTAAAGTCCTTTTACTCAGCCAGTGTTTTAGATATTGACATGAAAACTTAAGTACTGATAGCCGAGAGCAAGCTCTGTAATATACTGAAGCCTCAAGAAAATTCAACAATTGTAGCCAAAGCTATTTCGGCTACTTTTTTCCCATTGGAAATGAATGGAGCTTTTTTTCAACATCCTTAAATTTGTTCATAATGTTTCTAAATCTTCACAGAACCTTACAGATTATATTCTGGATTTACTCCTTTTAAAGTCTTAGTGAAAATTTTAGCTACTTTCTTGCTAGTTTTAGCTTTTTTCAGCCATTTCAGCTAAACTCCTTTTTCCTTCTACTATTCTTCTGCTTTTTAAAATTTTTTGTTTTTCTTTCTGCTAATTTAAGTTAATTAATTCTACTTACAGTTGGTTTCTGCTATGTTCAACTATTTTAGCCTATAGCTTTTAGCTTTTTATGCTAATTCAGCTATATTTTTGCTCCTTTTTACTTAATTTCTTCAATTTTTTTTGCTACTTTCAGTTTTTCAAATTTAACTTACAATGTTACTTTTGCTGTTAAACATGTTCAGCTCAATTTCAGCTTCTTCAGCAGATTTCAGCTAAAGTTTTCAGCAACAGGCATTCYCACTAGCATGTTCGCAGGAAATGCAATTTCTCTAGTTCAGTTCTGTGTTTTTTGTTTTCAAATCAAATTTTTTTATTTGCTTGTTTGCTCAGTTCACACTGAAACAAACCACAACTTAGTGAAATCGTTTTAAAATCTGACGGCTTGAGTTGATTTAAATACTCAGGTTTACAGATTAGTTTGAGGTGGAACAAAGTGTAACAGTTGTGAAAAATAAAGAACTCATTGGAGTATGTCAGTTAAACAGAGTTAAATCCAGTCATTGTACAGTCATTTGATGGATTGAGACTTTAATCTGAGTTCTGGTGTCCCAGCAGTGTGACGGTGTAAAACATCAGGCTCATTATGAATAAACTCACCTCATTGGTGGAGAGAACAGAGTCTTCATCCAGACTGAGAACWGCATCTGTGATGATGTCATCGTGGGGCAGAAAACGACTGCTCATCGTCTGCACAGAAACAGAAAATAACTGCAACGTCAGCAAAAACAACRGAAAAAGTCTGAATTAATTAAACTCTACTGAGGCAGAGCACCTTTAAAGGTCAAAAGAAATCTTGTTTACATCAATTTTAAATAAATATAATTAGTGGAGAGGCATAAAAAACCCTTAAACTAAATAAACAAATGTGTTTGTTTCACCTCCGACTGTGCCTGTCGATCAGTGAGCTCCTTTAATGGTTTCTGTGGGACTCTTTATCAAACCAGTGCCTGACAGAAAATGTAGCCGAGCCTGAACCATTAGCCTAAAGATGGCTGCAGCTCGGCTTATCGACTCGTAATTAAAGTGTGAATTATTCAGCTGTTTGTTCTCAGAACAAATGGAGGCTGAAAACACAGAGAAAGTTCCTGAAAACAGAGCAGGTAAAACGTTTGGACTCACCTGCAGTCTTTACTGGTGAGATTAAATTATTTACATCATTTTATATCAGATTAATCAATTTTGAAAAATGCTAATTTACAACCTGTTTAAGTTAAACAGTGAAAAACTTCTCAGATAACTAATAAATGTGAGCCGTCACATCGAAACCAGGATTAAGTCTAAAAGTTGTTTAAGGAGAAAAAGGCAAATATAGTGT